TAAAATAATTGCCAAAGTGGCTTGTACTATAAAAACGTGTACAAAACCTATGGGGAAAAGTGGAAAAAGAAAAAGAAGAAAAAAAAAAAAAAGGAAAAAAAAAAACTTTAACGAAAACAAGAGCTGTTCCCAATTGAAATTGGGAACAGCTAACTAGAAATTGTGGTTGTGAACAACCACAGAGCTGTTCCCAATATTGATTATCTGTTGGACCCATAGACATATAATTAGAGATCTATGTCTGTTTGCAACAGAAGATAGGGCTTTCCGCATTATGATTTGTTTTAATCAACGTCCCTGACTATCACTATGCATGAACATAAAATCTGTCAAAGTTAGCCGGAAATCGGCTAAAACGGTCACTGTGGACAGCATTTGACCTCAGCAACACGTGCGCTGCGCGCGGGCTGACTGACATACGATATACTTATGTACAACGTACAATGTACGTGCATGTACATGTACATTGTGGACGTCATGTGCATGTTTTAAAGCAGAGGTATTGTCAACCTGAAGTTTTAAGCGTGCGCAGGGCATGTCCGAGTTTGCTTATTGCCTCGAAGCTTTGAAATGTTTTAGACCTACCCTTAAATAGACAATTAAAGTAAAAACTAATATAAAAAATGCCATGGTTGATTTTTCAGGAGTTTTCCAAGGAAAAAGGGTCTTTTTATTATAACTTCCGATCTGATGACGTCATACACCTTCAACTTCGCACACGTCTTAAGTGGGTCAAGGTCATCATATACACCAATAATTAGCCGATTCCGACAAACTTCGCCACAGACATCTATTCAAAATACATTTTTGAAAGTTTTCAACCTGTCGCTAGAGGGCGCTCGAAGATTGCATGACGTCATCGGTAGATGATTTGAAGAATACTGTCAGCCAAGAGACTAACACCGTTAAAAGCAAGTTCATATCTATTACCACTTTTAAATAATAAGCCACTTCCGGTTTTGGCCTTTTTCGACCGGAAGCAAGGGTCACGTGATATCACGCACACTGAATGAAATAAAGACCTCAACCTACTCTACCACTTGCCAGCAACAGAATGCTTCGGACGCGTATGGTTGATTTATTATGCATTTTTAAATATTAAAAGTGTCACAATTTAATTGCCTATAAATAAACACCGGATGACGTCATCATAACGTCATCATTACACAATGTTGTTTGAATTAGGGTCTTTGCTTGGACAAAGATTGATGTAAATGAATTACTGGCAAAGAGTTGAAAATGCCCTCTGAAAATCGACATTTTTAAAAAAAAATTTGTGTACAAAGTCAATGGGAAAAATTAAATATTCAAAATTCTATAATAAATCACGTGATGACGTCAGCATGACGAAAAGTTTTGGCACACATCCTCAGATGATGGTTAATAACTATGCTGAGTTTAAAGTTGATCGGATTTAAAATAATTGCCAAAGTGGCTTGTACTATAAAAACGTGTACAAAACCTATGGGGAAAAGTGGAAAAAGAAAAAGAAGAAAAAACTAGAAATTGTGGTTGTGAACAACCACAGAGCTGTTCCCAATATTGATTATCTGTTGGACCAATAGACATATAAGTAGAGATCTATGTCTGTTTGCAACAGAAGATAGGGCTTTCCGCATTATGATTTGTTTTTATCAACGTCCCAGACTATCACTATGCATGAACATAAAATCTGTCAAAGTTAGCCGGAAATCGGCTAAAACGGTCACTGTGGACAGGATTTGACCTCAGCAACACGTGCGCTGCGCGCGGGCTGACCGACATACGATATGTACAACGTACGATGTACGTGCATGTACATGTACATTGTGGACGTCCTGCGCATGTTTTAAAGCAGAGGTATTGTCAACCTGAAGTTTTAAGCGTGCGCAGGGCATGTCCGAGTTTGCTTATTGCCTCGAAGCTTTGAAATGTTTTAGACCTACCCTTAAATAGACAATTAAAGTAAAAACTAATATAAAAACTGCCATGGTTGATTTTTCAGGAATTTTCTAAGGAAAAAGGGTCTTTTCATTATAACTTCCGGTCTGATGACGTCATACACCTAAAACTTCGCACACGTCTTAAGTGGGTCAAGGTCATCATATACACCAATATTTAGGCGATTCCGACAAACTTCGCCACAGACATCTATTCAAAATGCATTTTTGAAAATTTTCAACCTGTCGCTAGAGGGCGCTCGAAGATTGCATGACGTCATCAGTAGATGATTTGAAGAATACTGTCAGCCAAGAGACTAACACCGTTGAAAGCAAGTTCATATCTATTACCACTTTTAAATAATAAGCCACTTCCGGTTTTGGCCTTTTTCGACCGGAAGCAAGGGTCACGTGATATCACGCACACTGAATGAAATAAAGACCTCAACCTACTCTACCACTTGCCGGCAACAGAATGCTGCGGACGCGTATGGTTGATTTCTTATGCATTTTTAAATTTTAAAAGTGTCACAATTTAATTGCCTATAAATAAACACCGGATGACGTCATCATAACGTCATCATTACACAATGTTGTTTGATTTAGGGTCTTTGCTTGGACAAAGATTGGTGTAAATGAATTACTGGCAAAGAGTTGAAAATGCCCTCTGAAAATCGACATTTTAAAAAAAAAATTGTGTACAAAGTCAATGGGAAAAATTAAATATTCAAAATTCTATAATAAATCACGTGATGACGTCAGCATGACGAAAAGTTTCGGCACACATCCTCAGATGATGGTTAATAACTATGCTGAGTTTAAAGTTGATCGGATTTAAAATAATTGCCAAAGTGGCTTGTACTATAAAAACGTGTACAAAACCTATGGGGAAAAGTGGAAAAAGAAAAAGAAGAAAAAAAAAAAAAAGGAAAAAAAAAAACTTTAACGAAAACAAGAGCTGTTCCCAATTGAAATTGGGAACAGCTAAAAAAAAAAGGAAAAAAAAAAACTTTAACGAAAACAAGAGCTGTTCCCAATTGAAATTGGGAACAGCTAACTAGAAATGTGTTTGTGGACAAACACTGAGCTGTTTCGACCGTTTTATTAATGACTGCCGTAAAGAAGTTTCATAAAAGGTCGAATGAACATGTACATGCGTATTCTGTATAGAAACGACTATGACCTAACAAACCTTTTGCAAAAAAGAATTTCGAATTAACCACGTTCCATTGATGAGATATGAGTAAAAGGTCCAAAAATTGGAATAATTCATATAAATCACATGATGACGTCATCGTGACGTCACTGCAATTTTTGTCTATAACACTTCCTGGAATATCTGCATACCGACATTGAACCCAATCGGACATCAGGTTCTCTGAGGTTGATCGGACCGTATTTTATATAATTTTTGCAAAATTTGAAGAAAATAGTAAATTTGAAAAATTCATAAAAAATCAAGCGATGACGTCATGATGACGTCACTTAAGATTTTGAATGCTTTTATCTATACCTACCTACCCACCAAGTTTCATAACGATCGGACATACCCTTATATGTGAATCACAAAATCTCGTTTTTTTATGACGTCATGATGACGTCACACATTTTATGAAATTTTGTGCATCTGTCTTTCACCTAACAAACATGTTACAAAAAGAATTTTGAATTTACCATGCTCCATTCATGAGATTTGAGTAAAAAGTCAAAAAATTGCATAATTTATATAAAATCACATGATGACGTCATCGTGACATCACTGCAATTTTTGTCTATAACACGTCCCGGAATACTTGCATACCAAGTTTGAACCCAATTGGACTTCCGGTTCTGTAGATATAGGGCCTTAAAGTATGCGCTTTTAGGATGACGTCATGTGACACGTGATGACGTCATGATGACGTCATGATTCGGCATACATCTTCAGATGGTTGTATAAGTGTGTGCCAGGTTTGAAGTCGATCGGACCGTATTTTATATAATTTTTGCAAAATTTTAAGAAAATATTAAAAATTTGAAAAATTCATAAAAAATCAGATGATGACGTCATGATGACGTCACTTCAGATTTGGAATGCTGTTATCTATAACTACCTACCCACCAAGTTTCATAACGATCGGACATACCCTTATATGTAAATCAAAAAATCACGTTTTTGATGACGTCATGATTTTACGAAATTTTGTGCATCTATCTAAGACCTAACAAATTTGTTACAAAAAGAATTTCGAATTTACCACATTCCGTTTATGAGATATGAGTAAAAGGTCCAAAAATTGAATAATTTATATAAAATCACACGATGACGTCATCATGACGTCACTGCAATTTTCGTCTATAACACGTCCCGGAATACTTGCATACCAAGTTTGAACCAAATCGGACTTCCGGTTCTGTAGATATAGGGCCTTAAAGTATGCTCTTTTAGGATGACGTCACGTGACACGTGGTGACGTCATGGTGACGTCATGATTCGGCATACATCGTCAGATGGTGGTCTAAGTGTGTGCCAGGTTTGAAGTCGATCGGATTTGAAAAAAGTCCAAAAGTGCCTTGTAGAATGAAAACACGTGTTATCCTATGGGAAAAAAAGTGGAAGAAAAAAAAAAAGAGAAAAAAAAAATAACAAAAACAAGAGCTGTTTCGGTGTGTACACCGAAACAGCTAAAAAAAAAATAACAGAAACAAACAAGAGCTGTTTCGGTGTGTACACCGAAACAGCTAATAACAGAAACAAGAGCTGTTTCGGTGTGTACACCGAAACAGCTAAAAAAAAAAAAAAAAAAAAAAAAAAAAAAAAAAAATCTTAACGAAAACAAGAGCTGTTTCGGTGTGTCACCGAAACAGCTAAAAAGCTATAAAAACTATGTACCATGAGCTAAACAAAGAAAGGAAAGGCCTACGCACAGTCATTCAAACTGATTAGTGATGTTTGAGCATTTGTTGGACGGTACAACATGTGAATACACCATTTGGAGCGACAGTCTCCAAAAACAGCATTGGTTCTAAGAACAACCAGAGGTGTTAACTGGACGTTTCAGTCATTGTGCTCTGACCATCATCAGGATGATGCCTAAACCCTTGAAAGGAAATCTATGTATCTAAGAATTACTTTTGTTTTGGATAGATAGTCACTTCTGCCTAGAGTTCAGTAACATGGCTTGTCAGTTGAATAAAGACTTGAATTGCGATGTGACTTGTGATAACTTGATAATCTGGATGTCAACAGCTCTTGTCCTTAAGGAGTTCATCCCTCATGGCGGGGATGAGCCCCTTCCTAAACGCGATATCCAACAGCTCCTGGGTATCCTTGATGTTGGGGTACTCATGCAAGGCCCACTTGAGATACACCAGAAACTCACTCCAATCCACCTGCCCGTCTGCATCCATGTCAATGGCCTGCAGAGCTTGACGGGTGTCGGAGCACCGGTAGCAGGCAAAGTACGGCGCCATGAAGCCATTGTAGAAGGAGTCGTACTGCAGCATTTCATCACCTTGCACTTCGTCTTTCAGGTCCCAGGTGTCCCAGATCTCACGTACCTCGGAGAGCATCCTCTCGGCGTGCACGTTGTTCAGCTTCATCTTCTCGATGACGTCACGCATCTTTTCGGTGACTTTGCCTCCGGCCCGGTCGAAGAGGAGAGCCAGGCCAACCTCACTCATGTACTCTTCCTTCCTGGAGTGATACAAACATGGAACAAAGTCAGCGTCATCAATGATAACGCGTCAAGTGTTATGGCTCAAATTATAGCATACAATTACACACATTACCTGTTGTTTCGAAGATCCTCGAGCATGACTTCTTTCATCTTGTGAGCTTGGTCAAGGGTGAACTGCGGATCGTCGCCGTAAAGCTCAATCAACTGCAGACGGATCATCTCATTGGATGCCAAAGAAGTGATCCTCTTGGGCGCCTTTTCTCCAAAGAAGTCAGCCAAGTCAAAGTCTTCCTTATTCAGCCCCAAGACGAAGTCCAAGGCTCTCTCCCCATACACTGGCTGCTTGAGGTGCGGGTCTCGGTCGGTGGTGATCCTAGTCACGTTGATGGCTGCCTTCCGAAGGTAGGAGCAGTTGTAGCTCTTAAGGATCTTCTTGTTGCCAAGGCGGATGAGGTTCATCATAGTGACGCAGGTTGATGCGTTGCCCATGGCAGCGCCTTCAATGCAGATACTGCCCCAAGTGCCATCCGCACCACACATCAAACTCTAGAAAACATAAAGAAGTCAGATTTGAGATTCAGAATCATGTAATTAGATATCGCCATTTTTAATAAATTCGCACATCCAAACTTAGTCACTACTTAAAACACTCAGGCGCTATAAACAGGGTTCCCAAAGTCATAGAAAAATTCTGGAAAATCATGGAATTTAAAGCTATTATGGAAAGTCATGGAAAAGTCATGGAATTTTGTTGTTATACAATGAGGCATGGACAATTGATAATACAAGAAAAAAAAGTCATGGAAAAAATCATGAAATCTTGCACAGCCATTATATGATTTGTATTATTTGGCATTTTGGCTATGGTAGACTTCCAGTTTGCATTCCAGTTTATTATACCTCCTCTTTATGCATGTATGTTCTATACTCTCTGTGTAAAACATCCTTAGGTTGACAATTAACTTGTAGCACAGTTATTAAGTTAAGCACGCCTTGAGTTACATGATAACTTGATGTAAAGAAATCCCTGGCGGCCAGTGACCCTCTTTATGGCGTTGCACTTTGCATGTTCAATGCGCCACTGCGGCTCAGTGGACTTGTGTTTTAAACAGGGAGCGACGTCTCCTTGCCTCAGTGTGACGTCTGGCCAGCGTAATGGCTCCTAAGAAGCCAAAACAGTGTAGAAATTGGTCACAGAAAGCCCTTATTTAGTCCTGGACAAGTCATTTGAAGATTGATGTATTTTTCCGACCGACATTGATGATATCTGCTAGTGAACATAGTCTTCTGTAATCTCGGGCAGTAAGTATTTTTCATTGAGTGAATGTAAAACAAATGAGTGGATATCATCGTCTACTTCAGGTTGACACGGAGGGGCATTACTCGCCATACGTGTTCCGATTGTTGAAAAATGTTCGTTAAATGTATCAGCAATGTCGGTGAGATCATCTACGAATTCCCTATCCTGGGAAAGAAAAGTCTTTGGAATAATTTTCTGTTTGTTGGAAAGAACCTCTATTAGTTTTTTTCCACAGAATTGATGAGTTGCCTTTATTTTCCTCGATGGTTGATCTAAAGTATTTGCTTTTCTTGCTGCGAATTTTCAGTGTAGAGGTCACGTTTCGCAGCTTTTTGTATGCGTTCCAATCATTTTGTGAGCCTGAACGGTTGGCGATTTTATTTGCACGATCTGGCTGTCGCATAAGTTTTAGAATTTACCCATCGAGCCAAGGCAACGATGCACCACGAATGCGTTTTGATTTCATTGGTGGAATGTTGTTAATAATACTCATAAACAAAGAGTGCCACATGGACCATGGTTCATTTACATCTTGACAATTAAGCACATGTTCCCATGGGGCATTAAGGAGGTCGTCTTGAAAAGCGTCACTGTCTATATCTTTAAAACACCTAAAGTTTATTGAACGGCCTTCTTTTTTTGGGGGGGGGGCTTTCCAAATATGGAGACTGTAATTATGATAGTGGTCACTAATCAGGACAGGTAGGACACCACTTTCGCTTACAAGTTCTGGATGAGAGCTAAACATTAGATCAATTGTGGTTTCAGTAAATTCATTAACACGGGTAGGTTCATGTATACGTTGCGTCATTCGGAACAAACCAAAACAGGTAGATTGTCGGTTCTGGTTTGCTTATTTTGTATTTTGCAGATACCTTCGTTTTTCTAAACAAAAATTCCATCTGCAATGTGTGCCATCGCTCGACATTTTGGCGCCCGGGTATACTCCATAAGCAGGTTTTACTTGTTGAAAATAGACAATAGTGTCTCTGTGTCTTTGTGTTGAAAGTAGACAGTATTGTTATTAACTTGAAAACATAATGTCACGGAGTATGGTTATGGCACAAATCAAAAGGTGTGGTTCTGAATTTCTTGTCGGTTGGAATTCCTTGTTATTATGATATGTTTACCAGCCTGGAATCACGGCGATGTTATTGCCTTAGCTCATCAGTCATGCATATACGGCAGCTAATTTAAAGTGAAAGGGATAAAGGATAATTTGAAGGGTTTCATAACAAACGAGGTAAACGACGTCGGCTAAAAAGTACAAATTTTGTGATAAAGGAAGTTGTGAGCGTTCACAACAATCTAGGAAAAGGATGGTGCAGTGAGGCCTCAATAAGTGGAGCGTGTTCAGGTTTTGTGTCGGGGTCGGTGCACTCTTTAAGTTTGGTGAAATCATACCGAATCAGACAACCCCCCCCCCCCCCCCCCCCCTGCCTATGGGCCTGCACTTTTGTGGGAGAATTAGAATCATTGATGGGCAATAAACACCCAAAACATGCCGGCAGATGTTGAGTGTTTTTTTGCTGATCACTTCGAGTATGGTTCTCCTTGGTTTACGGACAAACATGCACGAAGTGCAGGGGCGTAGCACGGTCATTTTTATTGGGGGGGGGTAAATTTTTTTGAAAAGGGCACTTGTACATCCGTTGTGAAATGTAAACAGGTTTTTTCTCCGGACACTTGGCCTCCGTAAATACACAAGGCCTTGTGTATGAGACAAGTGCAAACTAACTACCGGCCTATTTCTATACTGCCGATTATCTCTAAGATTCTAGAAAGATGGATACATTCAGCAGTGTATTCTTACCTTGATGATAGTAATCTGATTGTTGTCAGTCAGGGTTTAGGCCCTCACTCTCAACTGAAACCACATTGAGCGTGGGTTATGACAGGCACTGTGTTTATAGATATAAGTAAAGCATTTGCGGGCCCCGAACACCACGCTGCAATTTTTGGACCCACTGTTTGGGGGGCCAAAAATTTTTTTTGGCCCCCCAAAAAATTGTGTTCTGGATCCCCCCTTGGTCCCGACTGAATCTCCAAGACCGCAATACTTTTTTCCCCGATGAAAGTGACCGCATCAATGAGACGATCAATTGAGACGAGTCAGCAAAATTGTACAAAACCATTGGTTCGTCCTCAACCTATACATGTATATCCAATAACGCTGTTGACCGTCAATCCCTTTCACAAAAGTTTGTGAAGGACACGCAGATTCGCCAAGTATTGTTGGTACATCATTTGTTATTCAGTGTTGACAAAGGGTCATTTGGTAAACAAACTCGTCCAATGAGAGCTCAAAAAGCATGCCCCTCCATGGTCATCGAATAAACAAAAGCCTTCAAAGTTAGAGTTCAAAGAAGTTGGAGGTCACGCGGACTGGTGACCTCCAACTGGACATAATTCAAAACTCCCTAAAAAGTAAACATTTCTTCAGCGTCTTCTCTCGACTTTTCCAGGGCATGAGCTAAACTGCAGCGCCTCATGTGCACTATGGGGAAACCTTTAGTTTCATACCAGAAAGAACGTTAGTAGGCAAGAAATCTGACCTACCTCGAGCTGTGAGGAGTCGGCATAACCGTACTTCTCGTGGATGTGCACCAACAGTTTCCCCTTCCATTCGTTCATATCCATGATCTTTCGGATGTACTTGGCCCAGTTGCCGCACTCCTCCGGTACAGAGAGGCCTGTCGCCTCTTCGAAGATCAACCCAAAAGGTCGGACATCTTCTGGCATCTCGGCAAGGAACTTGACCAGCTGGAAGGCCCGGACGGGTTTCACAGGCATCACATCGGACATGTCTCGCAGGTTGATCAACACCTTGGCGTCTCGATGCAGGTTGTCGTACACCCACATGATCCATTTCTTGACAAGCGCGCACAGGTCATCCATGGTGAATTTACTGAAGTCGTAGACGCCGTCACTCAGGTCTACCTCCAGGATTGCGTTCCAGAGACCCGTCTCCTGCATCTTTTGCAATCCCACAGGAATCTTCTCGGTGTTCGGTATCCGATTTTTCGCACCTTTGGAGAGAAAAAACGCAGCAAATTACGAACAAACTCTTGACACGATAAGCAAAATATTTACGTGTCAGCATTAAAAAACACGTATTTTAAAATACCGTTTTAAGACGAACTCGTTGGGGTTCGGGCTACATTTACGTCTGGCCTGGCTGGGCTGTATTGAGATACAGGGCCAGGTGGTTGTAGTATATGTAATTAACCATGGCGAAGATACAGGAGCCTGGACTAGGTGCTTTACATGAGTCCCAGTATGCCATTCAGACGCGCAGGCGGCATACGATGTGTAGTCGATTAAAATGTATTTTACCCCGTTTTTCCATTTGACGAGGGGAAACCCCACTAACCATGATCGAAGTAATAATTTGAAATGATTTATTTTAAAGAAAACAAAAACACAATTTTAAACGAACATTTCGACGATTCGGACGCCACTATATGTTTTGATTCTTCGTCTGATTACTTCACACACTGTCTCTTATTTCCTCGACAGATTTCTGACAGTGTTTGTTCCGGACCACGTCTCTCCTAAAACTTTTTAATGAAAGCCAGATTAAAAACGAAATTTTGGTAAGAGGTGTTCTCGAAATTTGACGTTTATTTTAGACCATCTTATAAATCCTTGTATTTTTTTTAAAACAATTTTGGAACAAGTATATCTTACATAAAGAGTGATTTTGCTTACAGTTTTATGAATATTTTGTTTTAGATGTCATGCAAAAAAACCAACAAAATGGCACACGTTGAAAATTCGCGATGAACATGCCAACGGGTACTAACGCCCGTTATCACGCCTCCTACCAATTAAGGCATTTTGTACCTTAGCTCAGATTCGTGATGTAGATACAACTTCAAATTAATTAATGCAAAGGATATTTAGTGGTGTGGTTGAGTTAGGTCGGTGAGGATTATTTTGATGGGTTTCCTCTGCCTACCTTTGGTTATCTCTGAGAAAGCGTAGAGTCCATTACGGTCCTCTCCCTTCTCCACCAACTGCTTGACGAAGACGTCATCTACGCGTGTCATGTGGGAGAAGGAGGCCACGATTACATTGGTGAAGCCACATCGTCTCACCTCATCAAACACCTTCCATTTATCCTCCAGAGTGTGACCGCGCAGCTGGCCCACTGTGCTCTCACGGATCGAGTTATCCAGGACGAACAGATCTAGATCTCGTAGAGTCTGGTACTTCTGGGTCTCTCTCTCAACGTCTTGAGTATAACCGTCAGCCAGTCTCTTCGCGCTATACCAAGTGTTCTCTAGAAATTTAAGCATGTTGGCTTTGGCTGGTTTGTACCGTTTTCTAGTTCGAAATCACGACAGAAAGCAGATTTGTTTCGATGTACTTAACAGAGTTGCCGGCCACTCTTTCGTCGAACCTTTCCCTTCAGCGCAAATTGGCGAACTATGCACTACATGCAGCCTGTGTGAAGTTTAATACTATTACTAATCGTGCGTATAGCAGTCCCGGGTCATGCCCTTTCCATTCAAATGCCCTTTTTAGTTCACCGCACCCCTAACCTTGAAGGCTTTTGTTTACTCGATGATCAGAGGTCATGCATTTTGAGCCTTCATTGGACGAGTTTGTTTACCAAATGACCCTTTGTCAACACTGAATAACAAGTGACGTACCAACAATACTTGGCGAATCTGCGTGTCCTTTACAACATTTTGTGAAAATGAGGGATTGATCATGGTCAACAGTTGCATGGTTCATTGCCATAATAATATTAATAAGGAGCCGGATGGGAATTTCCCCGTGTTTTCTCCCGAAATGGTTTTTCGCGGGTTTCAGCCCCTGCTGTAATCAGCGAATATAATTATAGCAAGTTTTTTCTTGATGCTACAAGATAGATCCAATTTTTTTGAGTTCACTGAATTCACCGTATAGTAAAGCCTGTTATTGTTAGTGATGTTGTTTCACACATGAAGTTATAATAGTTTTACAATATATCGTCGTGTGCCCGGCAGAAGGGCATATGGGCGTATGCCCTCATGCAATAACGCGAAATCTCCAAAATGTTCCAAGTGTAACGATATGGGTTTTTGGGTTTAAAATGATGAATAATTCACGAGGAGCATGAATAACGTAATGTTATTTTCTGGCTGTTCCTTTTAATGTACTGACCCCGCCAGCCTAATTGCCCTAGTTAACAAGTTTGGACATATGTTCGTCGACATTTAGGTCATTTGATAATTCGATCTTGAGAATGATTATTTGGTAACAGTATGTCATCATCATTGTCAGTAATCAAAGTCAACACTCCTTCTGAGTCAATTTTATGCGCGACGAGGGGTTGTGGTCATTGCATTACGGTAAGAGCGCTACCGCTCACATGGTTTGTCCTCTTGCGAGCGGGTCGTGAAAAAAGCTCAGACCGAGCCAACCTTTGTCTAAAAGTCGCCCACTTTTCCCTCATTTTTGGGGTAAGTTGGATTCTAAATAAGTATTGAGTAGATAATGTAAGGGACATAGAAGAGGTTGGTTGATATGATTATTGTCAAACTGATTTATTTTTTTATAGTTTTTAGGGTGTTAGTTTTGTGTGAAAGTGTCAAAACTTTTCTAGAGTTGAATGACCGTTTTCGTACACATTCACTGCACAATGCATTATATAATGGCGACATTGAGTTCAGCATTGTGTACATTCAGTACGTAGTGTGCGTATGCACAGCACTATGGGCGGCCATTAGGGCAAAAAAGACAAAAACAAAAATAAAACAAAACCACAAAATTAAACGAAAACACACAGAAATTAACGAACAACACAGAAATAAACGAATATAACTCAGAAATAAACGAACAACTAAGAAATAAACGAACAATTCAGAAATAAACAAACAATTCAGAAATAAACAAATATAACTCAGAAATAAACGAACAACTCAGAAATAAACGAACAACTCAAAACTAAACGAACAACTTAAAAATAAACGTACAACTCAGAAATAAACGAACAACTTAAAAATAAACGTACAACTCAGAAATAAACGAACAACTCAGAAATAAACGAACAACTCAAAAATAAACCATCAACTCAGAAGTAAAACAATCAACTCAGAAATAAACGATCAACTCAGAAATAAACGATCAACTTAGAAATATATACGAACTCAGAAATAAACGAACAACTCAGAAATAAACGAAGAACTCAGAAATAAACGAACAACATCCCCAGGGTGTCGAGCAGCAGTATGCGCCCACTATATACCATACATTATAGAAGTGCAGACGACATAATTGTTTACCGCGGCATCCAAGATGGCGGACACCTTGCATCGCTTCACGCGACACGGACACATGACGGATGTAGTGGGTTTTCGTCGACGACCTCCGACGCCAAAAAGAAGTCTATGCGAAAGGTAAGCCTGGTTACAGTTAGATTTTTATGATGGAAAACGTCAACTTTAATTGTTTAACGTTTACAATGGCATATCCTGCCGTCATGTCTGTACGTAATGTCATGTGTACGGCCGGGTTTGGCCACTGTCATGACTGTGCTGGCGCGCCGGTGCGGTGGGCAGACCACGGACCATTAAATGGTCTGTGGTACATGGTCAGACCGACCATCGAGCTATATCCGAGGTGGAAAGATTCCCATATCTGGCCATCACTATTTTTCCCCTTCAGTGTCCTATCATGCATCAGAAAGTGATAATATGTCCAAACAAGTAAAATTTAGCTGGGAAAAATATTGAAATATTTAGGAAACACTTGGAATAGAAATGTAGACCAGTCTCATACGGTTTGTGCACAGGGATGGCCAGGTTCCCATCACTAATTGTTCCCTGCAGTGTTAACAGCCATATTGAAGTATTTACCGAGAAAAAAATGAGAGAGGGGAGGCAAGGGGGAGGGCGCTGCCCCCCCCCCCCCCAAAAAAAAAGGGAAGAAAAATCAAGAAAAAAGAAATTTAAGAAAAAGAAGTGCGATCTCATATTTGTGTAAATTTAATGGGTTGGGGGGGGGGGCAAAATGTTCCTGATAAATCGAGAATATGTTGAGAAATACAGGATTTTGGGGGGAAAAAATATGTTTTACCCCCCATTAGAAAAAATCCTGGCGACGCCTTTGTTTGTGCATAGGGTCACCATGGTCACTGTCATGGTGATTTCTAGGTATACAACTATTTCCGGATAGCTTTATGATAGGTGATTGCACTGTATTTTACTCTACACTGCCATCATCAGTCCTTTGATTACAACTTGATTAACATCTACATTTGTATGTAGGCCTGGTCTAAATAGTTCTTGATGAGATTTTGGCAACTTTTCATGCTAAACCGTTTCATATATTTTGTCATTTGTCCCAACAGAGTGCAGGATATTATGAACGGTGTTCAAGCTGGCTACATCAATGATCCAGATGGAAAAACAACAGAAACTCAACTGAAAGAAAGCAACTTTAGTCTTGTCTGATAAGTGCTGCATGCGTTCCACAGCCCATGCCAAGTATGGACTGAAATTCTGGCTGAACTACTAGATCTTACATACAAGTATGTAGACAGCAGCTGGCTACTAGTAGCTGCGGCTCCCTGAATACCTTGTAAAATGGCAAATGCACTATTAAAGTTAAAGAGATTTTTTTATTATAAGACCCCCGAAAATCCACAAATACATGTATGAGAGAAAGTTCACTCGCAACCACTGATGAGCATCTATGCAGAGGATTCAATTTATAGTTTGGAACTTGCTGCAACCCCTGTCCAGGTTGTCATTGAGGATTCTGTCTGAGGACTTATTGAGGTGAAGAGTCTGTCAAGGTTGAGAGAGGTGACACTAAAGGAAGTGATTCTAGCCAAAAAGGACTGCAACTTTCCTCTGCAACTGAAGGAATCAAAACCCATGATGAAGGAGAAATCATGCATAGTTTTACCAGGTGCAGATGCAGATGGCAGTTGTAGGTGTGCCTTGTTGTGACCTTCGAATTTTCACCAATACCACAGCGATGTGCTCATAGTACAAAACTGTACATGTTTCATTCATTGAGGCATTTTTGAAACCATTGAGGATTCTCCAATTTCATAAAGGTCAATGATTTACCATATAGCCCAGGGTTTGGGGATAAAAAGTTAAGGTTGCACTTTTTATCAAGACACCTTGCACAAATTTTATTTGGCCAAACTAGTTAATTGCTCTTGCCATAAATGTGATTGCTCTAGTTCAAAGAGTAAAAGTGCATGTACATGTACATGTTATTAAAATTATATTTTAGACATTAAAATGTTTGTCAACAAATTGCAGACTTTTTAGTCATCTTTAAAAATCTATACTTTTCTATGAATAGTTAATGCAATTTTAGGTGAAATATATATGCACCTAGGACAGTTCAAATACATGTTTCTACTAAGCAATTAGTTTTTCTACTGAGCTAAATGTGTCATTAAGAATAGGAGCTACTGAACATGTATCTGTACAAGGATTGGATGTATTTCAACAAGTTTGGTTTTGGAAACCAACTTCAGAGACTGAATGTTAACTGTTAATTATACAACAGTCCACAGTTTGGGAAGAATTCCACATACGGACGTCACTTGAGACCCTGTATACAACTTTGAGGGTGGTCTGAACATTTCTGTTTTCTCACTAAATTCTTCAATGTTTTCCCTGCTATGTTTGACTTTGTACGACATGTTATCGCTTTCTGATGGCTGGTAGGTCATTGCAAGGAAACATTATTGACGTCCGTATATCGAATTCTTTCCCACATGTTCTTGTTATGTTTAGCAAAAGGATTTTTTAAACAGCATTTTAAGGTTTCCTTTCAATCTTGAGCTTTAATTTATTGCATTGTACTAGACTGGGGCAAGCATTATTTGTGTGTAACTGCCTGAAAAAAAGTACAATTCACATTTCACAAATTAATTATTAAACTGTTGCTTTAATATCTCATAAAAAAACAACACATTGTAATGTTAAATTAGCAGTTATATTAATATCACTTGTGTTGTAAAACATTTTTTTGAGAAGCACACAATGTATACAATTGTGCTTTTCAAAATATCATGTATGTACATGTACACAAGTTAACCATGCTCAACCTGTAACAGCATTTCATGAGATTACACAAATATTTGAACAAAATGAAATAAAGGTGCACCATTCTAAATTTTGTGCAAACTATGTGGCATATGTGAACCTTGGTCACTGTTTTTCTAGTGTTCTGATGGTCCCCATGAATATCCTGATATCTGTTTGACAAAGGTGGGGGACAGGGGTGGGGTGGGGGTTGGGCTGGAGGCACTGGAGGATGGGACATTTGGTGAATTGGGTGGGGGATGGGGGGAGTGTGAAGTTTAAAATTGTGATTGGCCCCTAACAACTCTCTGTAAAATTTACTTGAATCAGCCAAAGATTAAAGACAACAATGCTGTGCTGCAGATCCAGAAACTTTACTGTGTACATGTAGTACAACTTCTCCTGATACAGTTTTGTAGTGGTACATGATGTCAGGCACAGACTGACTTCAATAAAATAGAAAATAAAATGTATGTGTTTGTTACAAGAAATTACCTAGTGTTTGTGTAACCTTATTCTAACAGAATTAGGTCATTACATATCACTTACATGTTCTAAACACACGCTCACACATGTCCAAAGCAATGTTTATGTAAATACACATGTAGGCCCCTACAATGTACATGGAGTGAGTGTATCAACTATGACCTAAATCCAGTGTCAGTCCAACAATTTGCATTTATACTAGCTACTCCACATTTAAAGAATACTGATGTCTAAATGCAAGAAGGGTTTATGTACACCCTGTATAAATCTCGACCTGCAGTATGTGCTTTTAACAGGTTCCACAATACTGTGACTATGCAACCAACAAATGCGTTGAAAATACCACTTTTAGGCTTATAAAACGGTACTAAATATCACACTAATCACTAAATAATTTATAGAAATTGTTGAACAGTAAACTGCTGTACCAACCGTTTAATAAACCTCAGCGGGATTATTGCTTTGGGCGAAGAATTTAACACACAAGTTGCAAACTCTACAACGCTTAAGCTATGTTGCTATGGAGCGCTTGGTTACCGTCTTTCTGGTACAGTGCCCTCACTAGGCAAAAAGAAGAAATCTGAGTTTGGCCGCTACATTACATGTATCTAGCACTGTATGTATCTATTTAAATTTAATAATTTTTACAAATATCTGCAGAATAAAATGTAGCACCTCTTTTAGTTTCTGTGTGCAGAAGTTGTACAGTTACAATTTACATGTACATGTAGAACTGCAAATGTGACATGGATTAGACTTGGAGTGACAACAAAGACTAAAGTAGGGCCTACATGTACATGTACATGAACATATGTAGGCTACACAGACAAAAAAGTAGGCCTACTTCATTTAGTGAGGGCAAAATATTGTAGCATAGCAGCGTACTCTGAACGCTTCCTGTAGGTTAGGGGTATCTTCTTTCCAAGAAAATGTCACTGTTTTCCCATTTACCGTTGAACAGTCGCACATGCTACTGCAACAGACTTAACCAGCTGATGAGGCTGCATTTGGTCTGCTCCAGTCCCATGTGAAAATGAGGCATATTAAAGTTGTAGTTTCCGCTTCATGGTTGCTTCTCAGCAGGATCTTGTTTCATCACAGGCTTCCCTTCCATGTTACTAGAATCGTCCTGAAACCAACATTTGAGAGTGACAAATTAATCATCATGCTGACATCCTGTTCTGATTACTACCATTACCCTTGTACCCTGTGCAACCAGTGGAACCAAAGAGAACTGATATGAACTGCTGATTTTGTTTAAGTAAATCCAATTCATTTTTTCTTCATTTTCTCTGCTTCCAAACACACAATGCATGATATTTTCTGTGGGTCACCAAAATAATGCAATATGCACACAGTAGTTCACAGTTTATTTGGGGTTCACTGAGTATTTCTGGCTAAACAGTTAACTAACCGTGTCAATGGCGAAGCGGTTCGACTGGTGGCAGCGCAATCGACAAATAGCATCACGATCAACCAATCGCGCTCAACATTAATACTAGAACTAGGGGGTTAGGGGCCTTTTGCGTTTGTAAAAACTGTTGTGTAAAGATACTAAAAAAATTCAACTCGAACTGAAAAATAATGGGTAAAAAGTCTCTTTTATTAGAATTATGAATACAATTTTAGAGTCGCGGAAGTCGTTTGATCTTTAAAGCGGCAAAATGCTCAAAAAATAAACAAGACATATGGACCATGCCCGTCCGGGGAAAGAATTACATAGTCTACCTCCATGTCTAGATGGACGTTACTTCACACCCTGTGTACAAACCAGTATGATGAGACTGGTCTGAAAAATTATGTGTTTTCTGACTAAATATTTCAATATTTTCCCTGCTAAATATCACTTTTTAGGACATGTTACCGCTTTCTGGTGGCTACTACTAGTACTATTACTAAGTCATTGCAGGGAAAAACTAGTGGCGTACGTATATGTAATTCTTTCCAGTCTGACCACCGTGGTCATGGCGCAGTACCACACCGCGCCATCCCAGCCCAGTACATGTGGCCAAACCCGGCCGGTATCGGCATACCGTTGGTACACATGACGTACAGACTAGACATGACGGAATGCCATGGTAAACGTTTACAAAGTCAACGTTTTTCATCATAAAAATTAAACTGCATCCCAGGCTTACCTTTCGCATAGACTTCTTTCTGGCTTCGGAGGTCGTCGACGAAAATCACCACATTTTTACCCTCCGTTTTTCTACGGTGTTCATCGCGTGAAGCGATGCAAGGTGTCCGCCATTTTGGATGCCGCGGTAAACATTATGTTGTACTGTACTGCATTGGTACACATGGTGGGCGCATACTGCTGCTCGACACCCTGGGGATGTTGTTCGTTTATTTCTGAGTTCTTCATTTATTTCTGAGTTGTTCGTTTATTTCTGAGTTCGTATATATTTCTAAGTTGATCGTTTATTTCTGAGTTGATCGTTTAATTCTGAGTTGATGGTTTATTTCTTCGTTGATGGTTTATTTTTGAGTTGTTCGTTTATTTCTGAGTTGTACGTTTATTTTTAAGTTGTTCGTTTATTTCTGAGTTGTACGTTTATTTTTGAGTTGTTCATTTATTTTTGAGTTGTTCGTTCATTTCTGAGTTGTACGTTTATTTTTGAGTTGTTCGTTTAGTTTTGAGTTGTTCGTTTATTTCTGAGTTATATTTGTTTATTTCTGAATTGTTTGTTTATTTCTGAATTGTTCGTTTATTTCTTAGTTGTTCGTTTATTTCTGAGTTATATTCGTTTATTTCTGAGTTGTTCGTTTATTTCTGTGTGTTTTCGTTTAATTTTGTGGTTTTGTTTTATTTTTGTTTTTGTCTTTTTTGCCCTAATGGCCGCCCATACAGCACAACGTTGAATCTCGACCACACTGTGGCATTAGACCAACTCGCTTTATTTTGAAATGTTGTTCGTGTATGTCGCATTGTTTATTGGTGCACGGGACCTTTTATGATAGAAGCTGTTTCCTTAAATATGTTCCCCGTATATGCTATTTGTATTTTTATGTATTTTAATTTATAGCTGAGACATTGCTGTCACAAGCTTTGAAGGTTGACATCTCAAGTGCATTACAGGCCTTCTCTATTTTATATCAGGGTAAGACTGTAATTCTCTTTGTATGCTTGATTAAGTAGTCATCCTATTTAGTATTATTTTGGAGTGATCATGACACTGTCTACAAAACAACTATATTATTTATAGTTTATGCTGTGTAATTAAAATAACTGTTGTTTATAATATTAATGAAATCCAATGACTTTGGAACAAGACTTACAAAAGTTTAAGATCAATTCATTTTATTCATGGTCAACAGGGTCTTCTTTTATGGTCTTCTTTTATGGTCTTCTTAGTCATCGTCTTCATTCAGGGAACTTCTTTTGGGTCTTTCCCTGTGTCTTATTCGGATCTTCATTTGGATTATTTTGTATAATTGGAGAAAGTGAATTAAATTAAAACTTAATCAAGTGAATCAGTGTAAACAACCGTCTCAGTGTTCCAGTTCAATTCGACTTGCTTTCCACCTTACTCTATCTTCATGAGGGTGAACCTGACCACCCTTATCATCGTTGGGGTTGCCACCTCGCGACACAAGCAAAAGGGCATATGCAGAAAAGTGCCTCTGTTTTAATGCAGCTTAAAAAAAATTCGTCAGAAATTAACACAAGTTGTTCCAAAACTCATGATTGTTACGTGTGACAAATTTCAAAATCGTATGATTTATAATACGCGTGGGAGAGCAATAGGCCTACGCGTGGGGGAATATTAAATTAGAACCTTTCCATGCAATTTTCTTGAAAATGATTTTTGCGTCTGTATACGGTCATGCCCTTCTGCCGGGCACCCGACGATATAGTATTGTTGTGGCGCTCTTATTAAATACAACATGTACCAGACGTGGCGCTCTTATGTCATACCAGACATGACGCTCTTACGTAATTTCCTAAATTAAACGAAATGTAATAAAATGAAATTGAAGTTTAATTATGATTCTACCGAGTAACCACTAGCACTGAAGGACTTACGTGAGATTGCACCTGCCACCGGTATTTCTTCGTCACACTTGAGAGAGTCCTTTGTCAAAAGGATGAATCTCCCTATATAAGTGAGCCCCGCGATCCATGCCTCAGGGCATTTTTGTAGGAGTATTAAAAACTTTTTGTAGTTTAAATGGGAGGGAAAATGTAATACTTTTATTCAAGTATGTAAACCCCATCAATGTATTCCCCAGAAATGAGGGCGGGGACGTAAGTCCTTCAGTGCTAGTGGTTACTCGGTAGAATCATAATTAAACTTCAATTTCATTTTATTACATTTCGTTTAATTTAGGAAATTCTACCTCGTAACCACATAGCACTTCGGCCTTACGTGAGATATTCGGAGCAACTGCAAAAAGTACAGCATGGAATGTTACAGTTTGACATTCAGTATGGATATCAAAATTCACCTGAAATATTTATTCAGTGATATCAACTTTCACATGTAAGACACTACTTACAGTTCGACATTCAGTATGAATATCCAATTTCACCTGAAAATGAAATATTTATTCAGTTACCTCAAATTTCACAATGATGATATTACTTATTCTGTGAAACATTACAAGTTGAGTTACTAAGTACACTCTCAGCAAAGAAGATACCTGTGTCATCTAGAGGTTTATCATAAAACTTTGCAAAAGTCGAAGATCTCGACCATCCTGCGGCTTTCATGATTGTTTCTAATGGAACACCTTTCCTAGATGCTGCACTGCATGATGCTGAACGCGTGCTATGGGCGGTAAAAGTATCCGTCCTTATACCAGAAACTGAAAGGATTGACTTAATCCATCGCCCTATTGTCTCTGCTCCCACTGCTTTGTGGGGAGTCACATAACTTAAAAATAGCCTCTTTTCAGTACCTCTGAAAGGCTTTGTTTTCTCAAGATAAACTTTCAAAACAGTCATAACACATAATAAGTGATCATGTGGGAAAGCAATTAAAATTACTTCTGTACGAGGTTTGCCTATTTTACTCGTTTTTGTGGGCTCCTCAATAATAAACTTAACATTATTTGTCCCAACTTGGACACAGTTAAGGTTCAATAAAGATAACGTCTGGCAACGTTGCCCCGATGTGAGGGCGACCAGAAGTACCAATTTCATGGTGATGTTCTTTAATGAAAGACCTTCGTTGGGCCCTAGAGCTCGTAGATACTCTAAAACTACCGCCACATCCCAAGTATGCGAGTAGCGGGCTCGTGGTGGTCTCAGGTTGAATACCCCTTTCATTAGTCTCTTTACCAATGGATGAGAACCCACTGTAGTTCCCTCAAGTGGTGGGATGACCGCTGACAAGGCACACCTGGTGGTGTTCAGGCTGCTATACTGACTGCCTGACAGGAATTGGTTCGCCAAGAAATTCAGCACTGTCACCAGAGTTGGTCGAATTGGATGAGTTTCTGTCCGAGCGCAGAACTGAATCCACTTCCCAAGTGCCGACTTGTAGCACTTCGTCGTGCTAGGGCGCCATGATGCGAGGATAATTATGGAAGCTGGTTTTGATACGCCTTGTTGTCGGAGGGCCTCCCTGACAAGAAGCATGCCATCAATCTCAGACGATCCCACAATGGGTGGAGTCTGTTTGAGAAGGGAAGTGAAAGTAAATCTTGTTGAATGGGCAAGATAATTGGGGTTCTGACAAGCAATTTTAACACTGTCGGGAACCATGACTGCGTGTGCCATAATGGCGCAATCAATACACAAACAGCCTCGTCATGCTCAATCTTTGTGAGCACTTTGTTTATTAAGCTGAATGGTGGAAACGCATAGACACAATGGTAATTAGACCAGTCTAATGTGAATGCGTCTGTGTGAACAGATGCTGGATCTGCCTGCCATGAAACAAAAGGCGAAATTTGGTAATTCAGCCTGGATGCAAAAAGATCAATATTTGGTCTGGGGAAGATTGATGTGATCTTCGAAAAAACGGAGGAATTTAATTTCCACTCCAAATCATCCCGAAAATGTCGGGATGCAGAATCTGCCAGGGTATTTTGTACACCCGGAAGATGGGAAGTAGTCAGCCAAATCTTCCTTGTCTTACACCATAACCAAATTTCTCTGGTCAAAGAATGTAGCAAGTCTGACTTTGAACCACCAAAGTGTTGGATATAGGCTACCACTGTGGTATTATCTGATCTTAGATGGACAGATGTGTCTTTATCATCTGCAAAAAATGATTGTAATGCTAAAAAGCAAGCCTTAAGCTCAAGCCAATTGATATGATGCGCGGCCTCGTCTTTGGACCAACGCCCACCAGTGGTGCGACCATTAAAGTGTGCACCCCAGCCCAGAGTAGACGCATCAGTTTCAATTACATGATCAGGATCGTGTCTATGCATAGGCGCAAATGACACTGGTAGTTCTTTAATCCACCAGTTCAGATCAGAAACTGCGTACCTTGAAAGACTCATTTTAGCCTCAAAATCACCGCCATTTTGTGACAGTGCCAGGTTCTTTTCGTTTTCTAATGTTCTTCTGAACAGAGGTCCATATGGTACTGCTAACTCGCACGAAACCAAAAGACCAATTACTCTTGCGACGTCTCGTATTGTCGGAGACTGTTGTCGTAAAAGTTTGCTGATTGAAGCAATGGTATTTTCAACCTTTAACTGTGGAATAGAAATCTTCATGAGATCTGAATCCAAATGAAATCCCAAAAAATCAATTTGTTTGGTGGGAGTTAAAATCGACTTCTTGTAATTGATGGTAAACCCTAAACTCATAGTAAGGGAAGTTCTGGCTTGAACATTTTCAATGCATTCCTGAAATGTTCTGCCGACAAGAAGTGAGTCATCAATATAATCACACGATTCATGGCCCCTTAACCTCAAAGAGGCAATAAGTGGTTTCATTACTTTAGTGAACACACGTGGTGCACATGCTAAACCAAAGGGCAGGCAGGTAAACTCGTATACCATATTTCGCCAAGTGAATCGCAGATATTTCCTATGCTCAAGTGCTATAGGTACTGCAAAATATGCATCCTTAAGATCTATAGAGGCCATATAACATTGAGGCCGTATCAGCTGAATTGCTGTGCGGATAGTCTCCATTTTGAAATGGAAATACGCCACAAACGTATTAAGACCCTTAAGATTTATAATGGGTCGGAAAGAACCATCCTTTTTAGGTCTGATGAAAATATTTGAAATAAATTCACCATCAGTATGATTCGTTTGCACTATAGCTCCTTTTTCGAGCATTTTGGCAATTTCTGTGGCTATAATTTCAGCCTCATGGTTTTCAAAACGCAATTCCCTTGGAATGCGAATTTGGTATGGCATTTTAATGAGTTCAATATGGTAGTGCTGAATAGCATCAAGCACCCAATTATCAGATGTAATCTCGCGCCATTTGGCTATATGATTTGCGAGTTTACCTGCCAATAACCCCACAACCTGAGTGTTATCACATTGGTGCTCACTCACCGATTTTACTTGGCATCGGACTGCTGCCGTGTCTGTGCTGGCTTTCTTTTCTGCCAACGTTTTGGGCGACTGGAGTTTCCCTGCCGCGTTTGCCCGCTGTACGTGTGGAAAGTCTTAGCATTTCCCCTTTGTCTTGCTCTATCCGATTTCGGAGCAGCAGACGAACTCGAACGCTGGCCAAATTTTTGGCCTAGTTTATTCGTTTCTTGAATATCTTTGCACTGTTTGGGTAAATCATCTCCAAACAAGAGCCCGGTTACGGGCACTTGTGCAGAACAAAGAGACGAATACTGCTGGTTCAAATCGGGCTTGATAAGCTCTCTACGCCTGAAATTAAGCTGGGTGACGGTATGGCCAATTATAGCCATTGAATCCAGTAGATTAGTCACAAGCGTTTTGTGATCCACGCTCTTGTTACTCATTAGAGTCTCAATGCATGACACAATGGGCACCATACCTTTCAGTGCTGCATGTTCAACCTTTTGTAGTTTGATGTCCATTGATCTTGTCTTGGACTGCAGAGAATTCCAGATTTCTGGATTAACTCTGGTAACATCCATTTCTGGAATGTTAGATGGTCGCTTGAAACTATTAAGTTTCTCCGCTACCTTCTCTTCTGATGTTTTCTTGCGGAGTAGTTTGCTGATGACGCCCGCTAGTTTCTCGTCAACCTTGTTCCCAGAATCTTCTCCAGAGTAGAACTGTTCTACTGCGGTGAGTACCCCGGCTGATGAATTATCATCGGCATCGGATTTGAGAAGGTTGTCGATTAGCTGGCCCGTTGCAAACGACTCGTCGCTCGATGAGCTTGCTGCTTGGTCTGCTACTGCATGGTCGACTTTTTGTTTCTTCGTTGGCGGGTTCCCCAACGAAGCCAAGACTGTAGACTGGAGAGTTTGCATTGCGTCTGCCATCGTTGAAATCTTGTCTTGAAGAGACGCAAACTCTTGTCTGGTGACCTCGTCCGAGGATCTGGTTGATTTCTTTGACTTCGCCTTGGCCTTAACGACCGGTGGATTTCCACCGGCGGCAGAGAGCGAAGTACATGTAGACGGGAGTGGGTCGGCGTGTGCCACAACACCACTGCACTCCAGGTCCGAAGGACCGTCGAGTAGACTCAAAATGTCCGCGGAGAGATGCGTGGACATTGCTGCTATACGAAGTTATACCGGTCACAAAAATGCACTGAGGCATGGATCGCGGGGCTCACTTATATAGGGAGATTCATCCTTTTGACAAAGGACTCTCTCAAGTGTGACGAAGAAATACCGGTGGCAGGTGCAATCTCACGTAAGGCCGAAGTGCTATGTGGTTACGAGGTAGAATTGCAGGTGTGGCGCTCTTATTCTACAAATTCTTGTAATACCCTCCTAATCTTGTGTGGCTATATAAGCACGCCCGTATTCATTGTTCGTTGCAGTTGGCTTCAGGGCGTTGGCTTCGTCATGGTGTTCTGTACCATTATTTTCTGTAGTCATATTAAATTATTTGGGAGCAGAGTTTAAGTTTCCTGTGTTTGGATTTGAGTTGTCCAATGTCTGTTCTTGAACCTCTATAAATTCCTAATTCGCTACATCGCAAGCATCATAAGAGTATTTAATTTATGGTATTTGCTTAAAAATTATGCATTAATCCAATAATGCTTTTATCGTATTGTATTTGTAATGTATTGTATTCGTATACATGTTTGTAGTCATTATTTATTGTATGCAGGGCCCCAATGGAAACCAGTTTTGAACTGTTTGGGCATACCCTGCAGTGGCGGTTCTGGGGGGGGGGGGGCTTTAGCTTTAGCCCCCCCCCAAAAAAAATTTGTCTAGCCCCCCCCCAAAAGAATTCATTAAAAAAATGCACAAGCAAAATGTAAGAATGTGACGTACATGCGAACGGTCTCCCCTAGATAAACAGCCGTGTGGTTGCGAAGGCGAAAGTGTGCCGGTTGTTAAGCAAAGCTAATCCGATTACGTACTTACACGTTGTAACAGAGCATGCTGTGAAATTCGTGAACCCCAAAACGTGGCTTTTTGAACGTTGTGTTTTTCCAAAAATATGCTCAGTATGATTGAAATGTTAAATTTTAACGGAAGAAGAAATTCTAAACTTCATGCCAATGAAAAAAAAAATGACCGTCATCGATGTCAAAAAGTCAATACTGGTTACTGGTAAAGCTGAGCTTAACGTCGGAAAGAAATCGTTAGAAACCGTCCCCAAATCTATGTATTTATATCAATTTCCAGGAATTCCTCCAAGTTATTATTTCACGAGTAGTTGGACACATATAATCTAAGTATGCTCCGAATTTCAGCTTAATCTGTTGTTGAAAACGCTAGTGTTACACCTTGAACTATCTTCAAAGAAAATTTGGATGAGGATTTTCTTGCCATCCAACCCACGTGCATGTTCAGCAAAGCGCCGTTGGCGCTATACGGTTGACCGATTTCGGCCCGGCAACACAATGACAAAAGGCGTATTGGCATATTCATTAGCGTGACTTGGCGTGACTTGGCGTGGGTCTCGGTATCGACCAATGGAAGCCGGCAAAAAAAGTGATATTTATCAATTAATAACTCCTGAAGGAGGCTTTTCTCCAAATTTTTACTGCACACCATAATGGATAGGAACCTTATTAATATTCGTGAGGCTTGGAAAGATTGACAAACATTGCTAACGCCAGTGTTACAACTTTAAAAAGTGCAAATAGCCAGACCTATTTTCCCAATTTCAACGAAAAGTAGTGAATATATCACAACGATTTTTAGCACATACTTGGGTCATTATAAGAGAAATAAACCCTGAAAGTTGCATGAAAATAGGGTCTTCCAAACGGAGGCATTTTGTTAATTTGCAAAGATTTCGTCCGTCAACGTGAACATTGTCTGTGTGCATGTTGTTTCAATAAAAAGAAAGTATTAAGTAGCCTTTCGAAATCGGCCTTCGGACCACACGGCTAGCCTTTCGCCAAAGCCATTGTGGCTTTAGCCGGCATTATTAGACCCAGAGGGGGGGGGGGGGGGGGGGGGGGGGACAAACGACATGATATCACCCACTTTAAAAAGTGTGGGCGGGAACTTGTCCCCCTGTCCCCCTGTCCCCCACCGATTGACGCCCATGCCCATGGGTCACTTGTTGCGTCATGTTGGTTCCCGGCATGCCGTGCGCGATTGTAAACGTTGCGGAAAAGCCTATGTGTTATTTTTTTCTTTTGGATTAGCCTTTACTTGTTTTTGCTCAGGTTGTTTTGTCTTCTTGAGCTTTCTATCACACAATCCCATAGACTTTGTACACGTCTTTTCTCATCGCCACTTTGGGCATTTATCTTTGTCACACATCATTCAAAGTTAATATAGGCATAGTCATTATAGCAAAGTTCTGTCCCGAAGAGTGACGTCGTGATGACGTCATTATGGGTCGTCATCTTGAAGGTGCAAACTCCTATAGTGAACTATCCGATTAATTTGAATGTTGGTATGTATAGTAGACCGGGATGTGCTATAGATTAATTGAGTTGACGTCATCATTACGTCATCATGTGAGTTTATATAGATTTTGAAGTTTTGAAGATTATTGTGTTATTTATTTATACCTTTATTTATCCAGGGTAAACCCAAACAGCAAAAAGCGGTGTTTCATCAGGGCTCTTAGGTTTTTATAGGGGGGGGGGAGAGGCTCGCAGCATTCTTTCAATGGGGGTGCTGTTCAAAACAGATTAACACTATACATGTATTTCAGAATGGTGTACAAATACCACCGTCACCCGGCAGGCTCTGTACGTATTTTGTGCAGAGGCGAATATTAATACCAGTATAATGTTCTGTGTGTCAGAGCGGGGTAGCTTTTTTATAAATTTCTATAGAAAAAAATTTTTTTTGACAGGGCTGGTTTCTTTTTACCCCCCCCCCCCCTTGATCCCCGCCTGGCAACCAATGCATTGTGGGATTCAAAGTGAAGTTCGAGCCTCATATAGCTGCCACGTTTCGACACTTTGAGAAATGTCTATATGCAAGTATTTTCCCTCTATAGAGTGAGTTTATTTCTGATCAGTGCACGAAGTACACGTGGAGAGAAACAAGACACCTGGTTTAGTGTCAATGTAGGATTATTATAGATTGATTGTAATTTCCAACCACCCACGTGCTTGCTGCTCATTTGTTAGGTGTTGGACTATGAGCCCAACAACTGTGATTGTAACTGACTATTTTTGTTCTCCTCAGCAAATTGTTCTCCAGAACTGTTTGTCAAAATGAAAACATATATGAGCTTCAATTGTCAACCCACTGAAGATGTCCATTTTTGCAATTACGTCATCATGACGTCATCAGGGGTCACGTGACGTCACTTGAAAGATTAATCAATTTAATCTTTGAAATTCAATATAAAACCAACCGTGAGAGACCGGAACTTGAATTTTGCAGAAAATCGATATGATTATACATGATCTTCTTTTTATCTCGTGCGCGTCAGATCACGTACGCTTCCTTCTGGTCAAACCCGGACGTGCCTTCTAATTTGCAATTGGCAAAAGATATGAACTCGCTTTCAACGATGTTTTCTTATGTCTTATGTCTTATTCTTAAGTCAAACATGCCTTTAAACATACATTTTGAGTTGATGTGTGTGGAGAAGTTTGCGATTATCAATGGCCCAACACCGTGCGGTTGTTGCCACAACCTCTAGTGTTTGTTTTATTTTGTTAGACAGATACGCCTTCAAGCCTTACGCGAGTACCTTACGGATATTATCTTAATTCCTAAACTGTGAATAATCAATAGCCTTTGTATTGAACGTGTTGATATTGACCGATATTTAGCATTCCTTTTTAAATGAGTTTGTAAAACTAGCCGTTATTGCTGTATGAATAATAACTCCACTTAATAGAAAAGTATTGGCAGCCTGAATGATAAATTACACTTCGTACAGGTATTTTCCCAAATAACCTCGTATGGCCAATATAACGACTATGGACCCATAACATCATTGCTTTCATTAGAACGTCCCTGTTCCATTTTCCGTCTTTTCGCACTCTCCAATCCAGTAACAAGCATCTACTACATGAGCCAAAATAGCACCTTATTTGGGGAGACAGGTCTTTCTCTGTAGCAGCACCTCGTCTGTGGAATCGGCTACCTGTATTCACATCAAAACTTCAGAAACCATCCAGCCCTGCAAAACATATCTCGAAACTCATCCCATGTCGTTATCTTTCAATTAATCCCTTGCGTTTATGTTTATTTTGTTTTTCTGCTCTTACGTTGCTTACCTTAATTTGTTTAGTTTGTTTATTATATTGATTTTGTTCACTTAACTTTTGCTGCTGTTTTGCTTGTATAAAATTATGTATAGCGCCTTGAACACCTCACGGTGGATATGTTCGCGCTCAAATGCCCATTATTGTCATTTATTTATTTTTCGTAACCACTGACGAGGACGGACACCCGACTGAGAACAACAAGGAGACACAGATAACTCTTCATTTTTCCAAGTATTAAATAAACTGTGGAATCAAACAGGAAAAAGTGCTTTGGACGTGCTCAACTGTAGACTGACAACTGTAGCAATGTTACAACACTTTACAGTCTGTTTTAAGTTCAAGGAAAACTGTTCTTCTGAAGTACAAGTCCGATTGGGTTGAAAGACTGTCCACTTGTCAATTTGTGTAGGTACAATCATTATCCGGAAATGCCCTTCCAATTAACTATTTAATTAACTTATTCCCATGAAGAAGGTCTTGTTGAGGCAGAGATATCCGGCCATTTTATTGTTTTGATTTGCTTATTTAATTAACTGCGATACTTGACGTTTAACGTGAGTGCGTTTTGCAAAATGTTATGTAACTGTTTATGTAACTGCTCCTTAAACGACGCGTCTAGGGTCTTGCACAGTTGAACATATATACTAATTCATACAAACGTAAATACAAACAGTATTACAAACGCAAATGCAGACTCAACCAAAACTGTCCGTTGGAAGATCGAGGTCAGTTTCCCAAAAATACAAAACGAAAAAAAAACTGAAAAAATTCGGGGTGTTTTTTTTTGTAAAAATAACCTGTAAAAATCAAGTGTATCGAGATTTTAGAGGTTGAAAGAATCTTCTGGTGCGCAGACATTGTCATGGTTCGATTTTTTTTCTTGTGTTTTTTTCCTCAGGAGGAAACTTATTTATTTAGAAGAAACGTTTTTCTTGCGTTTTACAATAGGTATAAAGAAATAAGAAATTAATCATTACATAGAAGAGAGAAGGGATCCCATTTCGCATTAAATTTAGCAAGATTACCATTTGTAGTAAATATGAATTTTTCTTATACATAGTATCGTTTTAGCTCATTCTTAAATACTAAAAAGGACAGTTTGCTACAAGTCATCTTCATTTTGTAAATATGCTAAAAGCATAGAAGACTTCTTAAGTCTAATTTTTGTTCAGTATGCCAACTTAAACCATCTCGTAATCTACCAGCATATTAATATTCAAGGTCTTCTTAATTCAATCACCACTTTGGTTCCAGAACGATAAAGAAATCTCTCAAGTACAAAATGAGTGAATCGGTTTCCTTTTCTACATGACAGAAGGAACACAAGTCGTTCTCCCCTTTACCAATCTTTATCAAATAAGAATTGACGCCCGGGATTGTATGAACTAATCTATATTGAAACAACCGTAATTTTGTATCATAAGTAATCGTATAAAGGGCATACTTCAAAAACAACCAACCATTAGGTAGCAGGGAAATTGATACTCAATTTTGTTTCCCATATATCAATGAACCTAGGCCTACTTGCAACCTTTTTTACTGAAGTAAATATATAATAAATACGGGTAGAACTTTTTTATCTAGTAAGAGTATCTCAAAATTAAGTGGAATAAAAGGAAAGCAAATATTTGACTTGACCTCTTTAAGTAAATAACGAAAAGATTTTTTGACGGCCTTAATTGACGACACCACCATATACTCAAGAAAGTTGGTCCTTATACTGAATTTTCACATAAAGCCCTCTAAGCTATAGAAAAGCACCTTTATCGTCAAGTAGGTCAGGCACAAAGTTTGCCCCTTTGTTTGCCCAGTGTTTGTACAAAATGCAATTGTTACCAATCGTAATTCTGTGGTTCTTCTACAAAACATTGCTAAGAGCATTTAAAAACAGGTAGTAAATAAAAATGCCAGTTTTTGATCCCAGATGCTGCGGGTTAATCCATGGAGTATCAAACGGATCTACCCTTCGGGCGGGATGGATGGAAATGACACTCATAGAGAAGCAATGAGTGACAAAGTGTGCCCTTGGGCAAGGCACTTTGTCACTCATTGCTTCTCTCCACCCAGGAGTAAATGGGTACCTGTGAGGGCAGAGATGGTTATTGTGATTGAATTAGCTTCCTTGCGCCTAACAGGCTGCACCGAGCTGTATTTTTATTTATTTATTTATTTTACATCTTTAGACATTAATATAAAATTGAATTTAAAGGAAATGTAAAACCAACATGAACAGAGGCTGTCAAGGACAAACAAAAGCATAAAAACTGTCATCAAACGATGTGTTTCACCAGACCCCTGTTCAAATTAAAACAATGAATTTTAAATGAAGAAATAACAATGAAATAAAAACCAAATTATACAAAAATTAAACAACTGTAAATGCGAACATGTAATGATAAAAGCAGGCCGATTGTACTATCGCAAGATGTTTTTTGTCTTAGATGAAAAACCCCAATGAGACCAATGACCATGATGAGATAAAAATTGATAAAAATGAATTTATATTAAAACACTATCAAACCAGGAAAAGAGTAAAAACCAGTAAAACAGGAACGCCCCAAAGACCAGTATTAAAAACAACCAGTACAGAGACGAATTCCCCCAAAAAGAAAAAAAATATATATCTGAAGTCTGCTAGTTTATACACACTCCCAATTACATGTCGGATAAATCCCTCCTCAAATGAGAACGAAAAGACCCCACACCCTCTAAAATCAAAATATTCCTGGTTTCAGCATCAAGCTCAGAATATACTTTAGGAAAGCGAACAGCAGACTATATTTGTAGGCATCAGTCCTTGGATTTAAATGATGGAAAGTGAGCATGTCTGGGTGCCTAACATTAACGTGGAACAAATTAAGAAAATCCGACATAAAACCCAATCTCTTAGACATTAAAAGTATACTCCCCAGGGAGCTGAGATGGTATTTGGAATGTTTCATGTGCCCAATGAGCAGGCGTATTAAATGATGTAGCGTCTTGAGCACCAGTCCTGGTGGATATGTGCGCTTTGTAAATATCCACTATTATTATGATTATTATTCATAGAAATTTAAATTAATGGAAATTTATCCGAGTGCTCGCATGTGACTAATCCCTACCAACGGTAGCCTTGGTCAATGCTCTCGTCGTTATTCGTCCCGTACGCGGTCAATCGTCGGCATATATCCTCACGCACTATGCACATGCATGTAAAAATTACAGCGCGAACAGCGACCTCATGCGGCCACTATTTTTTTATGCAAATCAGTTGAGGATGATCATCAAGTATCATATTACAAGCAATCAAAGATTACTAGATTTAATCTTTGAAAATCAATATAAAATCAACTGCTACAGATTTGATTTTGTTTTTTATGGCAATCGATACAATATTGCAGGGTCTTCATTTTTGGTATTAAGTGCAAAATCACGTGACCCTTCCTTCCGGTCGAAACCGAAAGTGCCTTATTATTTGAAATTGGCAGAAGATGCGAACTTGCTTTCAACGATGTGAGTGTCTGCCTAGGTAGTACTGTACAAACATTTTACAGGTGACGTCATCAAATGTTAGAGCGCCCTCTGGCGGCATGTTGAAAAATTCAAACATGGATTTAAACATGCATATTTTGAGTTGATGTGTGTGGCAAAGTCTGCGGTAATCCATGGCCCAACACCGTGTGGTTGTTTATACAACCTCTAGTTTTTCTTTGATGTTCTTTCCCCAAATCCCGGTTTGTAAACGTCTTTCCTTATTGCCTCTTTGGCATGTATCTTTGTCACAAATCTTTCGAAGTTGGCATAGGCATAGGCATATTTGTTTGACATTATTCACTAGTTATTTGCACGATTTATGTAACTGAAGTAAAATGCTCCCGTTTTCAAGTTACATTAAATTATCATTGCACTTCCGGTAAAACTGGAAGTAAAGGTCAAATAGCTTTGCGCCTGGGACTCAAATTGCCAGAGTCAAGGTCTAAAACATAGCTAAAAATGAGAGCAAAACTCTATTCCGTTATAAAGTTATAATTTATTTTTTGATATTTTGAGGTTACCCTTGTAATTTGATTTTGCCAAGCATCTTCGGATGAGGGTTCAAGGTCCGTCTATGTTTTATCGTCATCCCATGAACCGTTTGGAAGAAATTTGGTTCGTTTTGATTTTGAGGCTACTGTATGTATTTTAAATTCACTTTGACCTTCCGGTTGACCCGGAAGTAAAGGTCAAGCGAGATCACTTACACGATACAAAATGGGTATTTTTAAAATAATGGTCAATCTGATTACAACGTATGAACATGATCGATTATTTTGTTCAAGAGTTTTAGGGGAAAGAAGATGGTCTTGTTTTGTCAACGAAAATCGGTTGTAATTTGACACCCGATGACGTCATCATTACGTCAGAGTAATATGCACCACTAGGGATCAGGTTGAAAGTTCATTGGTTCTGAGAACCAGAGGTGTTAACTGGACGTTTCAGTTTGTGTGCTATGACCATCATCAGTAGAATGCCTAAAGAACTACTTTTGTTTTATAAAGATAGTCACTTCTACCTAGAGATCAATAACATGGCTTGTCAGTTGAATAAAGACTTGAATTGCGATGTGACTTGTGATAACTTGATGCTCTGGATGCTCTATCTAGTCCTTAAGGAGTTCATCCCTCATGGCCGGGATGAGCCCCTTCCTAAACGCGATATCCAACAGCTCCTGGGTATCCTTGATGTTGGGGTACTCATGCAAGGCCCACTTGAGATAGACCAGAAACTCACTCCAATCCACCTGCCCGTCTGCATCCATGTCAATGGCCTGCAGAGCTTGATGGGTGTCGGAGCACCGGTAGCAGGCAAAGTACGGCGCCATGAAGCCATTGTAGAAGGAGTCGTACTCCAGCATTTCATCACCTTGCACTTCGTCTTTCAGGTCCCAGGTGTCCCAGATTTCACGTACCTCGGAGAGCATCCTCTCGGCGTGCACGTTGTTCAGCTTCATCTTCTCGATGATGTCACGCATCTTTTCGGTGACTTTGCCTCCGGCCCGGTCGAAGAGGAGGGCCAGGCCCACCTCACTCATGTACTCTTCCTTCCTGAAGTGATACAAACATGGAACAAAGTCAGCGTCATCAATGATAACGCGTCAAGTGTTATGGCTCAAAATTAATAATGGCTTACATTAATTACGCAAATTACCTATTGTTTCGAAGATCCTCCAGCATGGCTTCTTTCATCTTGTGAGCTTGGTCAAGGGTGAACTGCGGATCGTTGCCGTAAAGCTCAATCAACTGCAGACGGATCATCTCGTTGGATGCCAAAGAAGTGATCCTCTTGGGCGCCTTTTCTCCAAAGAAGTCAGCCAAGTCAAAGTCTTCCTTATTCAGCCCCAAGACGAAGTCCAAGGCTCTCTCCCCATACACCGGCTGCTTGAGGTGCGGGTCTCGGTCGGTGGTGATCCTAGTCACGTTGATGGCTGCCTTCCGAAGGTAGGAGCAGTTGTAGCTCTTAAGGATCTTCTTGTTGCCAAGGCGGATGAGGTTCATCATAGTGACGCAGGTTGATGCGTTGCCCATGGCAGCGCCTTCAATGCAGATACTGCCCCAAGTGCCATCCGCACCACACATCAAACTCTAGAAAACATAAAGAAGTCCGATTTGAGATTCAGAATCATGTAATTAGATATCGCCATTTTTATTCCAAATCTGAATAAATTCGCACATCCAAACTTTGTCACTACTTAAAACACTCAGGCGCTATAAACAGGGTTCCCAAAGTCATGGAAAAATTCTGGAAAATCATGGAATTTAAAGCTATTACGGAAAGTCATGGAAAAGTCATGGGATTTTGTTGTTATACAAGGAGGCATGGAAAATTGATAATACAAGAAAAAAGTCATGGAAAAAATCATGAAATCCTGCACAGCCATTATATGATTTGTAATATTTGGCATTTTGGCTATGGTAGACTTCCAGTTTGCATTCCAGTTTATTTTACCTCCGAGTCCTCTTTATGCATGTATGTTCTATGCTCTCTGTGTAAAACATCCTTAGGTTGAAAATTAACTTGTAGCACACTTATTAAGTTAAGCACGCCTTGATTTACATGATAGCTTGATGTAAAGAAATCCCTGGCGGTCAGTGACCCTTATTATGGCGTTGCGCTTTACATGTTCAATGCGCCACTGTGGCTCAGTGGACTTGTGTTTTAAACAGGGAGCGACGTCTCCTTGCCTCAGTGTGACGTCTGGCCAGCGTAATGGCTCCTAAGAAGCCAAAACAGTGTAGAAATTGGTCACAGAAAACCCTTCTTTAGTCCTGGACAAGTCATTTGAAGATTGATGTATTTTTTCGACCGACATTGATGATATTTGCTAGTGAACATAGGCTTCTGTAATCTCGGGCAGTAAGCATTTTTCATTGAGTGAATGTATAACAAATAAGTGGATATCATCGTCCACTTCAAGTTCACACGGAGGGGCATTACTGGCCATAGTGTTCAGATTGTTGAAAAATGTTCGTTAAATGTATCAGCAATGTCGGTGAGATCATCTACGAATTCCCCATCCTGGGAAAGAAAAGTCTTTGGAGTAATTTTCTGTTTGTTGGGGAGAACCTCTTATAGTTTTTTTCCACAGAATCGATGAGTTGCCTTTATTTTCCTCGATGGTTGATTTAAAGTATTCGATTTTCTTGCTGCAATTTTTTTCAGTGCAGTGGTCAAGTTTCGCAGCTTTTTGTATGCGTTCCAATCATTTTGTGAGCCTGAACGGTTAGCGATTTTATTTACACGATCTCGCTGTCGCATAAGTTTTAGAATTCCCCCATCGAGCCAAGGCAACGATGCACCACGAATACGTTTTGATTTACTTGGTGGATGGTGGTTAATAATACTCATAAACAAAGAGTGCCACATGGACCATGGTTCATTTACATCTTGACAATTAAGCAAATGTTCCCATGGGGCATTAAGGAGGTCGTCTTGAAAAGTGTCACTGTCTATATCTTTAAAACACCTAAAGTTTATTGAACAGCCTTCTTTTTTGGGGGGGGGGGCTTTCCAAATATGGAGACTGTAATTATGATAGTGGTCACTAATCAGGACAGGTAGGACACCACTTTCGCTTACAAGTTTTGGATGAGAGCTAAACATTAGATCAATTGTGGTTTCAGTAAATTCAGTTACACGGGTAGGTTCATGTATAAGTTGCGTCATTTTGAACAAAGGCCCTCGCGGCTTCGCCGCTCGTGCTAGTCTTTTTACGTGCCAGCATCCGGGGTGCGTTACGTGTCCGATTGGTCCGGGTATAGGCGCGTGGGACTTGACGCGTGGTAGGTTCATGTATAAGTTGCGTCATTTTGCGTCATTTTGAACAAAGGCCCTCGCGGCTTCGCCGCTCGTGCTAGTCTTTTTACGTGCCAGCATCCGGGGTGCGTTACGTGTCCGATTGGTCCGGGTATAGGCGCGTGGGACTTGACTAAAGGCTAGACCTTACCCGACACAAAAGCTGGACACGCTCCACTTATTGAGGCCTCACCGCACCATCCTTTTCCTAGATTGTTGTGAACGCTCACAACTTCCTTTATCACAAAATTAGTACTTTTTAGCCGACGTCATTTTACCTCGTTTGTTATGAAACCCTTCAAAATATCCTTTATAGTGGAGCTGCTTAGGTCCATTTTTGGCCTAAATCGTGCACTTTGTGGTAAAAGCATGAAATTTGGCTGGTGGGGTCCCAATGGGCTAGAATTCATTTTAAGATCGGGACCCATCCAGGATCTTGCCCATTTTGGGGGCGGAGCTTGATTTTTTTTTAAAGGGGGTGTAAACAATACAAACTCATGAAAACTGTATTTAACATCAATTTTCCTTGTTTTTCTATGGTTTGAAATAAACTTAAACATAAAACCGAAACGGAAAGCGGCACCGGGGAGGGTCACGTGCTGGAGGACAGATACAAAAAAAGCGCATCAAACGCGACGAACGCAATGCCGTTTACGTGCACAATGCGCTGTGCATCGGCACCCATGGTCTACATGTGGATTGGGTTTTCAGTCCCTACCTGATTCCGTGGGTTTTCCCCAGACTATTCTTCTGGGGTTTTCCTCCCACCTCTAAAACTGTAATTTCTTCTCATTGTCTTCTCTCTACGTTTTTTTTTTGGGGGGGGGGGGGTTTGCGAGCTACAGTGCCTGGGGCATGCACTTTTGAGGATCCTTGGTTTCATTACCAGAAAAAAAATTATTTATCGTTTACTTCGTTTCGTATGAATATAAAGGAGTAAATGCTTCAGATTTCAAATATGCACTTGTCATTTACAAGGCTGGGTTGGGGCAACCTTGAAATTATAAAGTAAAATACTTCTGCGCAAAAATGACTGCATTTATTAAAGTTCATAAAGTACAAATGATACCATGTTCGTATGAATAAAACATGGCATTTGCTTTTGCTACCATTTTGAAGCATTTACTCGCATCTGTATGAATGAAAATTAAGCAAACACTTTTACTAAAAACCGTTTGCTAAATTCTGAAAATAATTACTTTTACCTTTAAGCTTTTGCTACACTATAAGCGTTTACTTCGTTTCTTATGAATAAAAAGGAGTAATGGGCCATTCAGAATTTTGAATGTTTTAAAAATTTCGATCTTTTTTCCAAATTGTGGGTGGGTGGTTCAGGCTAAATAATTGAAAATCGAAATTCACTTTCCATGGAAAAAAAAGAAAAAAAAGAAAGATAGATCTTTTGAGTTGCCTGAACTACGCGCAAGCGTTCCGATATCGCGATGCGTGTTTCTTTTCCAACTTCGTCCTCTGTATGTTATTATTATTTGTTCGACCAAAACAATACACAATGAACAAACACGGTGTGAAAAACAAAAACTAAACAAAAATGTATGAAAGCTACGAAATGCAAAATAAAACAAAATAATCACAAAAGACGACACTTTATAAGTTTAAGTGTAAGAGTAGGGGCCACAAAAACAACGCATAATATGAAATGAAAACATCCGAAGACAATATATAAAAAGACGATATGTGGGTCAGGGGTCACAAAAGTAAATTCAATTACTATTACCTACAGGTATGTAACCCCACAGGTATGTTACCCACAGGTATGTAACCCCGCATGTACTGTACATGTACGTCATGTAAGTGTATATAGACCCACTGTGACATGAGAGGTTTTTCAGTAGACTTGGACGCCGGGCGTTTGTAGCGGTTAGGCCGTGAAGAGGCAGCAGGGTACCAGGTGTACTAGGTCGGCTCTATAACACGCCGCGGGCGTCGATTACCAATCGCTATAAAAACTGGACTGGACTCCAAGACTACGAGGACCGCAGCCTGTGATGTGATGTCTGCCCAAACCTGATGTTTTTCTTTCGCTCGTACCCCCCGCCCTGCAAACAGGGCGGGGGGGGGGGGGGTACGAGCGAATGTTTTTCTCAGCTACCTCACGTGACAGGCACAACCTCGTATGTCACATGTCATGTCCACCTCATCCAGAAAAATCAACAAAACCACGGTCATCTTTGTGGCTTCCAAAACTGCAACCTGTCATTCCCAACAGCATATCAGCGGGCAAAACACAAGAAAACTGAAGGTCACCAGTGCAAAAGAGGAAGACCGACAACTTCACGCCGTCACTGAACTAGACACACATGTACATGGGTATACATGTTCATGTTCAAGTAAATGTACATGTACATGCAAGTGCAAGTGCATGTACATGTTCAGTTTTTTATTAATCGAAATTAGGGGTGGGTGGGTGGGGCAAAATATTTGGAAAAAAAGTCGAAATTTTTAAACATTGAAAATTCTGAATGGCCCCTAAAAATGCTACAAATTTTAAATATTTACTTGTCATATTTCAAGGTTGGGTTGGGGCTACCTTGAAAATATAAAAGCACATAATTATGCGCAAAAATTACTGCATTTATGAATGTTAATCGCGAAAAAGTATAAATAATACCATACGGTAGTTCGTATGAATAAAAACTGGCATTTGCATTACTCCCATCTGTACGTTTCGTATGAATATAAAGGAGTAAATGCTTCAGATTTCAAATATGCACTTGTCATTCACAAGGCCGGGTTGGGGCAACCTTGAAATTATAAAGCAAATAATTCTGCGCAAAAGCTACATCATTTATTATATGTTAATCGCGAAAAATTAATATTAACAAAGTTCATAAAGTACAAATGATACCATGTTCGTATGAATAAAACATGGCATTTGCTTTTACTGGTACTTCCAATTTTGAAGCATTTACTCGCATCTGTATGAATGAAAATTAAGCAAACACGTTCGTGTAGGTTTTATATGAATTAATCCCTAAACCCTATGATCTCAGAATAAATACAAGATTTCTATTGTTTTAGCCACTGTGACCTTGACACTTGACCTTTCGACCCCCAATGCGATAGGCCTATGACCAAGAACGATCCACAAACCAAATTTGAAGTTCACATGTAAAGTATTTCTCAAGTTATCGCGCTGACAAAATTTCTTTTGTTTTAGCCACTGTGACCTTGACCCTTGACCTTTTAGCCCCAAATGCAATAGGCTTCTTAGGATTACCAAGAAAAATACACAAACCAAATTTGAAGTTCATATGTAAAGTATTTCTCA